TCTACACCCCACTACGACAACGGGCACAGTTATATCCCGAAGTGTGACTAATGCTCATATCTGTACGTACTATATTCTACACCCCATTACCACAGCAAATTCCCACAGAGTTTCTGAACGATGCCGTTAGGTTGGGTATTCTCAACACGTCATCTGGCAGCAACGACGTACGTCAGAGTGGGCGTAGTTTTTATTACACATACGTACATTAACATGATACTATATGGCATATATGTAGATTAACAGTATATATGTAAAATTAACATGATGCTTTTATGCATATACGCACATTAACATGCTACTATAATGCATATAAGTAGATTATCATGATACTGTAATGCATATACGTACATTAGCATGATACTTTAATGCATATACGTACATTAACATGATACTTTAATGCATACAAACATAACAAGATACTTTAACGTATATACGTACATTAACATGATACTTCAATGCATCAACGTACATTAAGGAACTACATTACATATACGTACATAAACATACTGCTTTAATGGATATACGTACATTAACGTACTACATTACATATACGTGCATTAGCATACTACATTACATATACGTACATTAACATACCACATTACATATACATACGTTAACATACTACTTGATACTCTATGCACTGGATAAGTATATATGCCAATGGGATTGATAAGCGTCCTATTCCAGTCACGCGCAGATATTTTGCCCAAACGGAGTCTCGCTGGAAGGCTGAGTGTGCAAGTGTGCGTTCATATAAGAGGTTCCTGATATGCACACTACGCCTGTCCTTGTACACAGCTGATTGGCTGTAATATGAACACACGCATGTGCTTTAATACTAACACAAGACTATGCTACAATACTAACACACGACTATGCTCCAATACTAACACATGCCTGTGCCACACTACGATTCTCGCAACAGCTGAAGGCAGGGTCTAAGACAGAGCTGCCGTACTGGCTTGCAAGCATGTTGTGTAAAATGTAAGTGGTTGCTAGGCAACCGTATCTAATTCTAATATTAGTATGTTGTTTAAAATGCAAGTGGTTGCTAGGCAACCGTAACAAATCTTCTATTAGCTTGTGTAAGATGTAAGTGGTTGCTAGGCAGTCATATCAAATTTTAATCATGGCACGCGATGTAAAATGTGTGTCAGTTGAGTTAATTTGCTATTTCATTAATATGTAGGGACAAGGCTATCATTTCGCATTATTCAGAGTCTACGCTTTGTTTCGTTTACGTATTTACATATTATAGATTCGGTTCCTAGGCAATCGCATCGAATTCTAATCTTGGTTTAGTCAGAGGCATTTTTCTTAATGTGTGGGTTATTTTTAAATATGTAGTCAGTGCCATTGTCCTTAATGCGTGGTTTATTTTTACATATGTACTGCTTGTTAATCGTATCATTTGAGTGCACGATCGATGGCATGGCGGAGACTGGTGAATTGTTTCTGCATAACATTTGAGTGCGACATCCGTTACAATAACGTGTAACGCAAATAGTCTCTTCGTAAAGTCTTGCTCATACGTATCGTTTTATCGTTATTGTGTAACGCAAGTAGTCTCTTCGGAAAGTCTTGTTCATGCGTATCGTTTTACCGTTAATGTTTTCGCAAATAGTCTCTCGGGTAGTCTTTGTCAGTACTATCGTTTCATCATCGGTGTGAGAATGAGACATGCTTTGTGCTATATTTGGGATATGTTCCGAAAATTTAACGTCTGATTTGGAGATGACTTGTGCATTCGAATACAGTTGGGCTGCGTACAAAGTGGCACCGCCATGTGGCGTCAATCGACCATCCAGTGTCCATGAACAGATAGGCATTGGCGCTGACATGGCCGATACATACTATGAGACACATATAAGTATATGAGTATGTACACACACACACACACACACACACACACACACACACACACACATATATATATATATATATATACATGCACATCTCCATCTGGATATACAGATATATCCACGTACATACATCTCCATATCCCGCCTCACCCCTCAGCAATCCCACACAATCTCATAGGCAATTCGTTCGCATAGATGTGCCAAAAGTATACACTCCCAAGTACACGGCGAAGCTCATTGCTGGACCTGAGACCGTTGCTATGAGCGACTGGAGTCCTTGGTACTTCCTACTGGCGCGCAGGTGTGTTGGTGGTCGTCTACGTTGTGTGCTTGGCACTGTTTCTCTCTGCTCGCGCGGCTGGATGTGGTGGATATAAACCCTAGACCCTGAAACCCTAAAACCCTGAGAGTGTTTGGAGGGTTCACGGGTGTACCCTAGCGGTGTTTCTAGGCGGTGGCGGGACGATGAATGTGTATTGTGCTATTACCATGTGTCTGTGGGCGAAATCTGGCAGTATGTAGTCTACCGTGGGTGGATGTGTAGGATGACTGCGTGGTGAGTATGGTGGGTGTATGTGTAGAATGACTATGTGGTGAGCATTGTGGGTGTATGTGTAGGATGACTGCGTGGGGAGTACCCAGTTGTCTCTGCGAGTGCTAAAGCACATGGCGCGTCTCTGCTGGTATATGCAGTGCCATATCAAAGCGTGTGTTAATGTAGTACGTAACGGTATGTGATATATGTGGGTGTATGCGTTGAACTGTTCTGTGTGGTCTGTCTTGCTTCTTCATACTTGAACGTTGTCTTGCACGTGTATATATGTATAAACTGTATAATTCTACATGTGCGTAGGGGCTCTACTTGTCTTTTATGATGCTGTTGGGTGTATTTGTAGGTCTGTTTGTGTATGTCCTGTTGTGCTGTAGCCTCTGGATGTTTATTCCTGAGCCTGCGATGCATTGGTTTGTCATACACGTGTGCACTTTATGCTTTATAATACTGTTCTAATGTTCCCGGGGGTCTATTCCGTTATTACCAAGGGCATATCTACTGCCTATCGCGTGCGTTCGTACATCTCTGTTGTCACTTACCATGCGTTGCTTTGGCAGATACGCTGAGATGACTATCAGTGGCTTCAACATCGGCGATGAGCTGACGCAGAAGGTCGAGAACTTAATCCCAGTGTTAAAGGAGGTGCGTATGCCGTTCACTTTGGTTATACCGTTCACTTTAATACTAAAGGTGGTTGGTGCGTATGCCATTCACTTGAATAGTATAGGTGGTTGGTGCGTATGCCATTCACTTGGGTACTATAGGTAGTTGGTGCGTATGTCATTATCTCTGATATCACAAGTGGTATGTAGGCAATTATCAGGGTACTAAAAATGGAACGTAGTCGATTTCTCAGCCAGAATGGCACGATCAGACGTGTAGGGTGCTGCATGGCCCTAGGGTGTGTTGAAATCTGAGAGCGAGTTCGTTTATCTACGTTTATTTACACGCAGTCAGCAGTCGTTTTAGGATGCCTGCATATGTGCCAGTCGATATAAGCGAGTTATTCGTTGTAGTGAGCGACGGAAGGCTGGTTGTGTCTGTTCATAGTTCCGCGGTTGGACTCACCGGAAACAGTCAGTTGTGGTTACTGTTAAGCTAGTTATGTATATATATAT